TCAATGTATACCAGCATAAGGACACACATACAGATCAACAGAATAGCGCTGAGAATCCAGAAGTAAGTCTAGTTAAGAACAATTTATTTTTCACAAAGGTACCAAGACTATTCAATGAGGAAAGAATAGTTTTTTCAAAAATGGTGCTGGGATAACTGGGTATCTTACATGTAAAACAGGAAAGCTGGACTCCTACATCACACCATATACAAAAATTAACTCAAAACAACCAAAGACCGAAATGTAAGCACTAAAACTGTAAGACTTTTGGAAGAAAATATAAGAGTTAATAGCTGTGATCTTGAGTTAGGTGATAGTTTCTTAGATAGGACATCAAAAGCACAAGTGACCCCAAAAAAAGATTAATTGGCTTTCGTCAAAATAAAAAAATATTGTGCTGCAAAGAACATGATCAAGAAAGTAAAAAGATAACCCACATAATGGGGAAAATATTTGTAAATCATGTATCTGATAAGAAACTTATATTTAGAATATATAAAAATCTGTTATAATTAAAAAATAAAAAGACAATCCAATTAAAAATGGGGAAAGGATCTGAATAGACACTTCTCCAAAGCAGATAAACAAATGGCTAACAGGCACACGAAAAGGTGAACCACATCATTAGCCAAGAGGGAAATGCAAATCAAAACTACAGCTAGAACCTCGCATCTTTTAGGATGGCTATGATCAAAAAGAGGGGTAATGACATGTGTTGATGAGGATGTGGAGAAATTAAAACCCTTACACACAATCTGGCAGTTCTTCAGTTAAACATAGTTACCATATGATCAAGCAATTCCACTCCCTCCCACTCAAGAGAAATGAAAACACATGTCCACAGAAAAAGTTGTGCACGAATGTTCAGACTATTATTTGTAATAGCCAAAAAGTGGAAACAACCTGAATGTCCATCAACTGATGAATGGATATCCATACAATGGACTATTATATGGCAATTTTAAAAAACAGAGTACTGTAATATGCTAAGACACAAGTGAACTTTGAAAACATTATGCTAAGTCAAAGAAGCCAGACATAGAGAACCACATATTATATACTCCATTTATATAAAATGTCCAGAATAAGCACATCCATAGAGAAAGAAAGAGATTGGTGGCTGCCTAGGCCAGGAGTGGGAGGAATGGGGGGAGTGTGAGGAAATGGAGAGTAACAGTTGATGGGTGCAGGATTTCCTTTGGGGAGATAAAAATGGTCTGAAATCGATAATGCTAATGTTTACAAAACTCTGAATATACTAAAACCCACTGAACTGTGCATTTTAAATGGGTGATTGTATGGTACTGAATTCCATCTCAAAAAAGCTGTTTTAAAAAGATAAATCAATGTAATCCATCATATTAATAGGCTAAAGGAAAAAAAATCACACAACTATATCAATCTATACAGAAACAACATTTGACAAACCTACAGTTAACCTTATACATCAGAATGTAAGACCATATCCATCAGAGTATAAGACTAACTGTGTCTCCCTAAGACTGGGAACAAAGCAAGGATGTTCACTCTCACGGCTCTTATTTAACACGGTGCTGGAAATTTAAACCAGTGCAATAAGGAAAGAAAAGGGGAAAAAAAACGTACAAATCAGGAAGGAATAAAACTGTCTCTATTTGCTATAATAATTATCTATGCACAATATCCCAAGGAGTCTATTTTTAAAAATCCTGAACTAATACATGAATTGAACAAAGCTGCAGGACAGAAGATAAACATACAAAAATCAATTCTGTTTATATATACTAGCAATGAACATGTGGACACTGAAATTAAAAATACAATATAATCATTTTTAAAGAAAAAATGTAATACCATCTATAATCACTCAAAAAATTTAAATATTAATTATAAATCTAACAAAAAAGGTATAGGACATATATGCTGAAAACTATAAAATGGTGATGAAAGAAATCAAAGACCTAAATAAATAGAGAGACATATCAAGTTCATGGATTGGAAGACTCAACATAGTAAAGATAAATTTCACCTTGGATTGATCTCTATGTAGGTTTATATATAGTTGCCTTGGGCTATAATAAAAGAATGTCATAGATTGAGTGGCTTAAACAACAGAATTTTATTTTCTCACAGCCTGGAGACTGGAAGTCCAGGACGGAGGTGCTTGGTGAAACCTCTCTTCCTGGCTTGCAGAAGGCTGTATTCTTGCTGTGTCTTCACATGGCATCTTCTCTGTGCATGCTTGAAGAGAGATATATTTGGTGCCTCTTCCTTTTCTTATATGGACACTAGTCCTATCAAATTAGGACCCCACCCATATGACCGCATTAACCTTAATTGGCTCTTTAAGGCCCTATCTCAAATTATAGTTTACACTTCTAATATACAAAACCCTAAGACAATAAATTTGTGCTGTATAAGCAGCTAAGTTTGCCATAATCTGACAAACTTAGAAATAGAAATAGAAAACTTATTTTCACACAAAATACTTATGTTCACACAAAAAACTGTACACACATATTTATAACATTTTATTTGTAATAGCCCAAAACAGGACACACAGATATTCTTCAGTGAATGAATGGTGAAATGAACTGTGGTATATCCATACCAGAATGTGAGTCAACAATGAAAAGGAACAAACTACCGGTACACACCACAACCTGAATAAATCTGCAGAGTAAAGAAAGCCCACCTCAAAGGTTACATACTGCATGCTTCTATTTATATAACGTTCTTGAAATGACAAAACTATAGAAACAAAGAGATTAGTGGTTGCCAGAGTTGGGGCAGGAGGAAAGTGGTTACAAAAGAAACACGAGGGACCCTTGTCGATTGGAAATATTCTCTTGTCTTGACGGTATTAATGTCATTATCCTGGCTGGGACACTGTAAGATGTTACCACGGGGGACGGGGGGGGAGGGGGCGGGCGGGATGTGGGTCAAGGGTTCAGACACCTGTCTGTATTATACAGCTGCATTACACAATCTCTCAGCAGTGGCATGTATGGTAGACACAAGAAGAGGGACCACGGGTTTTAAGTAATTTAGGAAACAATTACAATAGCCTCTCAAAAGATTTAATATTCCAATTACATGGGGACAGATGCTTCAGAAAGCAAGACCCAGAAAAAAGGCAATAGGAATACAGATGAAATACAGAAAGAAGAGGGGGAGGAGAGGGAGGAAAACAATATAAATGAATGTTTATAGACATTTTGAAGGTGGAATTAAAAGGAGTTAATGGATTGGCAGTTGGAGAAGCGAAGGAGGCAGGAAAAAGAAAGGGAAGAATTAAAGATGGCACCGAGGTTGGGGCTGAGTGATTGAGGGAACAGTGGTGGTACATTATTTTTTATTTTCTCCAGTGACATACTGGCAGTTTGACCCAGCAGAAGAGAACACTGGTTTAGAAAGAAGCTTTAAGGAAGTCTAAGTTCTCCCTCTTGGAGAAGCTACTCAACTTCATAGGCTCTGTTTCTGCAGCTCTGTAAAGTGGGAGGATTTAGAGAAAATTAGCTGAATGTTGGACCAATGTGATATCAAGCGAATTCAGAATAAATTTCTAGCAGGCAGTGAAAAATATGAGTCTGGAGCTCAGGAGAATGGCAGTATTATAAGTACAGAGTAGAGAATCACCAACGTCGAAGAGATGGTTAAAGTTGTTGGATGACTATTATTAAATGCATAAAAAGAGGCATATGAATCTTGGGAAAACCCTAAATAAATATAGAAAAGGTGGCAGTAGAAAGCTCAGTGGCATACCAGTCTCATCAGGAAGAAGTATCCTGAGATAGTGTATCAAAATTAGATGTCATATCATATTGGGAGAAAGGAGTTGTGTTTCATTTTTCCATTGTCAACGAATTTCCTCAGTGATTGATAAAATGTAAGGAAAATAAAAGCCTCTATCACAAACTTTCCCTTTTATGCCTAGAAACATTGATACTTTGCTTTCATTATGGTGTTAAACAAAGTCCTATTTCCAAAGAGTTTTAAAAAAATATAACTCCAATTTTATAAAGACAGATACTTCATAATCTAAGCCTTCACAGAGCTGAAATTTTGCCTGGCTCATTCTTGTAGGATAGTGTAAAACACACAGCTGACCCGAGTTGGCCCAATAGGATAGCTGCCTTCACCACATCAAGACTGAGAAAATGAGGTCCAGACTGGTCCAACATAAGCTAAATCAAAATGACTTTCTGAAATGATATAAAAAACTTGGATTTCGTTAACCCACAGCACAACACAGAAACATGGCTAGGAAGCAGACATGACATTTGTGGTTGCTGTTCTAAAGGAAATTTTCCTCAAATCTTTTCTTTGAAGCTAGTTACACTAGACAAGAGACCAAGATCAAGAGTGTTTTGTACATGGTTTTCTTTGGATCTTTCTAATTTTTACTTTGGTCCAGATAAGTCATGTCACACTCTATTGACTACAAAGAAAACTTTTCTTTTTTAGTTTCTGCCTCCTACAGCTCACCAGCTCACAAGCAGCTGGGGCTAAAGGATCCTAGTTTAAAGCGGAAGTCAATGCAAAAGATGGGTTTTTCTTGCTCATTCCCAAATTAGCATACATTGAAATCATACATTTCAAATTCAAGGAAAAGCTAATAATCAAAAAGCTGTGACTTTTTATGGTCACGTACATCCAGAATTATTAAATCTCTTCCATTTTCTCAATGATATGGAAATATAAGCTTAATTTAAAAGGTTTAAATTATTTCATCTTAAATTTGACATGGGTTCTCTTGGGTAAGAGAGTTTTGGCAAGAATCCAGGGCTAAGTAGCTGAATATAGTAAGTGCTAAAATTCAGATTAGCCCGATCTTCAATCCTTGACCAAAATAATTAGAACACAGCTGCTCTGCCTCTCCCATAAGAAAAATTCCCCAATCTAAATTAAAATATTTACCTAATATGAATCTTTCTGTATAATCACAACTTTCCATGAAATGGTAGTAAGATGCCTGTATCAGAACCTGATCAGAACATAAGAATCACTGATTGCTCTGCTTAGCACAAATGACATTCTTTATTGATGTTAAAACATTTGGGAATACATAGCAAATTCCAACACAAACAACCTAAGAGAGAAGTAGCACGCAGCATTTTAAAGGATCTATAACATACAACTCCTAAACTGGCTCACAATTTCTTTGTGTTTATAAAGCTCATATTTTTACCTGAACTCTTAAATGACTGAGAATTAACTTCCATGATTTGATACAGTATGGACACTACCTACAGGTAATACCCAAAATCTTAATGTAGTCTTTTGGTAACATTTGACAAATGCACAAAAATGTAGCATTAGTTTAATTCTTAAAAAAAGAAATCTGTTTTTGGTACAGGTTTTCAAAGGAGGGGAAATTTTAAGCCAAAACAGCACGTTATTTAGATGCAGTTAACATAATGATTGTGGAGAAAACCCTGAAGAATACTGGTCACAGTGTGCAGAAATGGGACTTCACATAACAATGGAGAGATTTAACATTGGTACTGCCTATCTGGTAACATCTATTAGCATGTGAGGTGCACACATCTGATGACCCAGCAATCACACTTCTAGGAAATTTGTCCTCCAGAAAGAAACAGATTATAATTTTAAAAAATGTAGAAGCCGTATAGCACACAGAACTCTCACACCAAGATACGAATCTAATTCAGTAAAGAACGTACAGCGCTCCTGTACCAAAGCTTGGGAATGCTCCTAGTTCCTGGGATCTTGCCAAAGACAAGCTATCTCTTCAGAGGGGATTCTGCCCTCTAGTGTACACTAAAAGAAGCTAATTAAAGCACACGAAGCAACTAAATCAATAAATTAGTGAAATTTAATGATTTTATTAGTGAAATATTTTCGATTCATTTCCAGAGCGTCACTATTTTCTCCTCAAATGAAGGCCTCCATATCCTGCTTTTAAATCAATTTCCTATTATCATACTGAGTAAATTGTGTGAATGTCGTAACTTTGGCTATTGTATTCTTTTGTGCAGATGCTTTCTTATACTATGCTAGTGTGTTATAATCATATATACATTAGAACAAAAATGGAGTCTATGTTAGTCTGCAACTTGAATTTTTACCTGCCTATCTTGGGTGTCTTTCCCAAGAAATGCCCAAAGCATTTTACTAACTTGTAATTCACACCAAGAGAAATTTGGCACAACCAAGGGTATAGGAACATAGCAAAATAAAGTTTTAAAAGTTTATAACAGATACAGACACTTGGCTTTTAAACGCAGATTTTTGAAACTCACTGGCACCATAACTCAAGGCTAAGGGCAAAGGAAGAACACTGTTCTGTGTAATAAAGTCCATCTCCTCACAGGATTTTCAAGAACACTAGAATCTGTTCAACTCTGGGCAACCTTGAAGAGGGACACTTCCTAAATTCATAGTATTTGCTGTATTTAGGTATTCAATCCAAACTGACAGAGGTTACCCCATCCTGGTGACCGCAAATTACTCTGTACCTGTAGTACCTGCAGAGGTATATTTAAAAAAACAAGTTAAGAATAAGTTAAAACCAAACAAAGCAGAGTTTAGCATCCATTGAAGAAGATGACAATCTGGTATAGGTTTTTTTTGCACAAAGCACTTCATTTTGGAGCCGATAAGCAAGGTAACAGCAGTACCACCAACGGTGCCAGAATCAATCATTCCCATTGTCACACCAGCTACTTGAAACAGCCTCTTGAAGTCATTTTTAAAATTGCGCTAGTTCCCTTCAATTTCATGAGGTAAGAATGAGGCTGAAGTACAGGAAACCTGGACTGGCCATGGTTAATGGGGAAAAGGCTTACAAAAAAAGGTAGGAAATAGTCATCTTACTTCCTTCAAAAGTAACAAGATGCAAAATAGCTTTCAAAGAGTCCGTCATCAGTTACAAAGCTGAAGAGAAACTTTTAACAGAAAAGGCCAATCAGGATGGTAAGAAAGATTAGTTGTATGGCATAGGCTTTAATTGCAAACGGATCTGGACAGGAATTCTAGCTCCGCCACACATCAACCATGTAATCGCAACAAGTTAATGACATTTCCCTGAGCCTCAGCTTCCTGATCTGTGAAATGGGCACAAAGTTAACGCCTGACTCTTGAGTGTTTATGTGGATTAAATGAAACGATACACTTAGCAGTTATCACTGTGCCTTAAACGTGGTAAACTGTCAATAAATAGAAGGAATTTAGTCTTTTTAAAAAGGTAAAGAAATGTTATCCTGCAGTCTGAGAGGACAGTATTTCTGATATTTAATCTAAAGAACTGGTTCCTAAAGGAAACTGACCTGGTCATTAAAGGGAAACTTGTCATCCTATAGTGTGAGAACATCTGACTACAGCAGCCAAGCAGGCAACATGAATGAGTGAAGCAGCTGAGTCGGGGAACCGGCAAACGTTACCCACTCTGCTCCAGCTCACTGATGTTATAAAGAAAGTGGGAGGGCAGTGGCACAACTTCTCATTTCTGAAGAAAAGCCAGTAATCCAGATTTTTATGTAAACTCTCCTGATTTTTACATGCTGGCCAAATAAAACATCTAAGGACGGATTTGGTCCACAGACTTCCAGTTTGTGAACGCCTGCCCTGGAGTAGAGTCTCGAATCAGAAACTGAAGGAAAGCCCAGTGGTTAAATAAGTGAGGGACTCCAGCTCCCTAAAACAATGTTATCTCAAAGGGGACATTGCTGCCATTTTGGAAAAAAAAACCCTCTGTCCTAACCATCTTAAGCAATGCAGGATACTTAGTATCCCTAAACCCCACCAGAAGTCTTCTCGAGTCATACGACAATCAGAATATCTCACCACACATTTCTGAACACCTCCTACCGGCAGTACCACATCTGCTAAGAATAACAAAGTTCAATTCAGAAGTTAGTGACAAGGTCAAGAACATTTACAAAAAGTAATAAAAGAAGGACAGGGCCAGCCCTGAGTCAACTAAAATTAACTAAAATCTCATATTATCACCAAGCAGGAAATCTCAGAGTAGAAAGCTTACAGCTGGCTGTGGAATAAATCAATAGGCTTAATTCACTGTCCTTACTTCTACAATTAATTACGACAGAAGGAACTGGCCTTATCGTTTCTCTAGCCATTGCTTTTAGAGTGTTACTCAACATTATAGTTTTCCATCAATCTCCTTTTTCCTACAGCAGGAACTTACATATAGAAATGTACATGTTTCAAAGAAATCATGGTGGAAGAAATTTAGGCACCCAAGTCACCCAGCCCTTGGTAACACTCCTAGATATTTCTCTTATGGCTCATTCTCCTTTATAAGAGTATATCCAAGTTACCATATGACCCAGCAATGTTATGCCCAGGGATATACCCAAGTGAAATTAAAATTCATGTCCATACAAAAACTGGTACATGAATGTTCATAAAAACATTACTCATAATAGCCCAAAGTGGAAACAACCCTATGTCTATCAACTAATGAATGGATAAACCAAACGTGTTATATTCATACAATGGAATATTATTCTGCATAACAAGCACAGACACATGGATGAACATTGAGAACATTAGGCTAAGTCAAAGCAGCAAGACAAAAAAGGATAAATATTATATGATTCAATTTATATAAAATGTCCAAAAAGGCATATCTAGACAAGGAATATAGATTAGAGAGGTGGGGAGGGAAATGAAGAGTAACTGCATTTCTTTTTGGGTGATGAAAAGTGTTGTGGTTGCACAGTTTTATGAATGTACAACTCTGTGAATATGCTAAAAACCAATGAACTGTATAATTTAAATTATTAAATAAAAATACCTCAATAAAGCTGTTTTTAGAGAGGAAAAATGCACAATTTTAAATTCTTAAGTTGACAAATACTATTTGTTCTCATAAAGACTAGCGCTCAAAAAATATCAAAGGTCACATCTCCTAGAATACCTACTTTCTTCTAATTACCTTAATTATAATTACCAAAAGCCCTTACACATGATAATGACTCTTGAAAAAGCAGATTTTGCCTTTCTTGGAATGGCCATTCTCTAGGTATTAAGTAATCTCGCCATGTACAGTTGACCCTTAAACAATGTTGGGTTTGTCATTGTTGTTGATGTAAATACATTTGTTGCAAATAATTCAGGGGATCCTTTTTTCCCTGTTAGTAAAACCACATAAAATGCTGCTCTCAACATGAAAGCAATTCCTTTAAAAATAAAATGGCCTACAAAATAAATCAACATAGGTCAGAGGTCTGATCAATCGTCATAACAAGAGATTGTGATAAAAATTAGAAACATTTCCACTTAATATTGTGGCTTTATTTAATTTTTGTTACTTTAAGTGAAACACTGAATGCTCTCTATCAAAAGACTAGATATTGAAAACAATTAAAAAACTTTAAAAACACGTTAACATCTATGGCTAGGATTATGAACTTTAATAAGACTAATAGTCCACCAGCGGCCCACTGCTGGAAAAAGGTAAGTAATAACTGTGGGGTTGAAAGCAAGTAGTAAATAATGGGGTTGAAAGCCGACTGGCCAAATACTCAACAAACTCTGGGAGAAGCTGCATTTAAGCGGCTAAGGGTACTACTGGTAGTGAGAACTGGGGAGGAGAGCGGGGAGAGGGTGACAAATGGACAAGAGCTTAGGGTTACACAACATGGGGAACTTAAATACAGCGAACATTGTGCTTTCTCCTACCAAATGTAGAGAGTGCTTCTTGTCTCCAATCCCTGCCTATAATTAAAATTGGGTGTTTGGTTTCCTCCATTCCCAAAGCATAAACTTTGGCTTTTTATAGCCTAAGCAGTGTGCTATTTTAAACATGTGGAGGAAATGCATTTTCAGTTACAAACATTTGCTCCTGTGAATCTGTTCCTGTTTGCTAGCAAAGGATGTGGGACAGGATGTTTTACTCTCCTGCTCTGGTTTTCCTGTATTGCTTAAATCTGTTTAGAGAGAAGAAAAACAAATAAATAAAATGCTTCTGCCGGACAATTTCTATTAACTGAAGCAACTCCAAATATGAAAATGAAAAGTCTGTGGAAAAAAAATTAGAATAATTTTCTTTTAATAAATTAGATTATTTCTATAGATTCTTCCCCTGAAAAGACTTTCCGTGCCATACGCGTGCAGCCTGCAGTGGATACTAATGTTGGCACTGATAAAATGTGCCTACTTAGACACCAGATCAGCTGAATTCCTCCTGACCCTGTCTTTTCCCAAGCACAATTACAACTGGAGAAGTTTTCTGAAAAGCAAGAAAAATAATTATGATAACCCTGAGGGTCATCTTCTAGATTTATTCAGAAATTCTAGGTACACTGTATCCTACTTGATGTGTCCCCATTTTCATGTACCACTCTGAGGACTTTTTTACTCAGATAAACATATCCTTGTAATCTGTTACAACCAATTATAACTGTAAAAAAACCTGACTTTAATCAAATTTCACTTTACCCTTTTATAAGGGAGTCAGTAGTTCATTAATCTACTTAAAGATACTTCATCAGCTGGCTCCTCCAGATTCCCTCTATGTCCTCCTCCACGCTGCTCTCTGGCCCAGATGCTGTCCTATATGGATAAAAAAAGACTCCTCGGATCAGAGCTTAGTCAGGCTCCTCTTCTCTACTAGGCCTCAATCTTGGCCCCATCCTTGCTGAGCCTGCACAGCCCAGTTTTAGCAAGAATCTTGTGAAGTCAGTTTAAAGAGAATCTCCCACTCTCAACATCTGATCATTTTCCTTATCTGATCAGGTTCCTCAACTCCCACCTTTGATGTGTAAGTCCTAGCCCTCCTTCAGCAAGAATCCTGTTAGGTTGGTTTAGCAGGATTGCCTGCCCCCTCTATCCCCGCCCCACACACACACACTTGATGTCTTCTCTTATTAATACTCCATCCACTGACCCTGGCCCCTCCTCCCATGTTGCTCCTTGGCTGTAAATCCTCAGTAGTCTTTGCTGTATTCAGAGTTGAGCCTCATCTCTTTCCTATTGTGATAAGTCTTAACACCTACTGCAACTATCCTGAGTAAGTCTTCCTCACCATTTTAACAAGTGTCAGAGTAATTTTTTCTTTCCCAAGACTCAGTGGTCAATGGAGCGTCCTGGCAAGAGATGGGAGTGAGGGAGGAATGGGAGAGCTGGGTATTTATTCCCCTGGCTTCCCCACTGGAGGGTCCATCACTCAAGTGAAGGTCTCGGCTCCTGTCAGGAGGCCCTCTCTGTCTGCCATAACTGCTCCCCTTCTTGCCCCTTAAGGTCTAGAGCGGTAATGGAGCCTCATTATTACCAGCCCTGGGGACACTGCACTATTTCTATCTCTGTGGGTTTTTTTTATCACTTTGTGAGTTATTAAACTCTCCTCAAAGTATCCTAATTTGAGGATGCCATCTGTTTCCTGCTGCGTCTCCCTAATACAGATATCATTTCCACAGATTTCTCATCTAGGAAGGCTATTAGCTCTAAGAAAAGAAGGCCTGGATACAGAATGCAGTGGTACTTCCATGAGTGACTTAGGGACTTGTTAAGCTGCTACTTCTCCCTCCTCTGGTTATCTTCACAATTATAGCAACAGAGTAGTTACTGAAACACGTAGTTTCCAAGCAGACTATGTAAGCATCAACAGATAGTATTTTAAAAAATACCCAAGGAGGCTAAAGCAAAATTGTGCTAATTGAAACTATGCTAGAAACCTAAAGTTATAGAATCTTTGCCTTTACTTCTATCTGGTACTTAATCGAGAGGTAATTTTCACAGTATCACTTTAAATACATGCAAGAGACATTAATAATACCAGATATAAGGCTGGTAACCCAAGTAAAAGTCTGCAAAAGGCTTTTTTAAAAAAAATTTTTTATGGTGACATTGGTTAACGAAATCCAATAAGTTTCAGCTGTACACTTTAACAGTAAGGCATATATATTTTACACTGTTAGATTTCTTTCTGTCACCACATATTTGACCCCCTTTACCCTCTCTTCCTCCCAACACCCTATGCAGAAGGCTAATTCTATGTGGAGTTTAGAGTAGAATTTTTTCAAATTCAGGTTGTGGTAGATTGGAAATCAATTCAGTGAGTCATAACATTTTTAAAAATAACATTATGCGTAATAATATAAGATAGAAAATGAGAGTTCATCATATATAGTAAAGGTAAATATTATTTCACCAACTTTTTATTTCACTTTTTTACATACCTATACTTATGAGTATACTATGGCATCTATAAAATTATTCCTTACTATGAGTGACAGTCAATAAAGTTTGAAAGCTACTAGTATGAAGAGAATCTCTTTCAAACAATATAATAATTATAAGGCTAATAACGTCTTGCTTTGGCCTACCCCTCACTTTCTAAAAATCTCAACTCTCACTAAATATGCAGTTTATTTTGTGATCCAGTACGAGCACATTAATAATGGAAATAAAAATGTTATGAAACAATACTTACTCTTACTATGTGATGTACTATAATATTTTCTTATTCTACTTCATTTCTTTAAATGATAATTGCAAACCCCAGCTTGAGAAGCCCGGGGCTAGAGCACTACCAGGGCCATGCCTGGAGGACTCTGCTCACAGGACGCTGGTCCTTCCACAACTGCCTCGGGCAGTGTTTACATTGCTTCCACTGTGGTAACAAGCACTCAAGTCCTTTCCCTTCTTAGGCTTCTGGGTAACCACTATGTGACTTCTGCCACCTAGTCGCTCCAGTGGGAGAGAAATACTTGGAGTAAGAAACAGATAAAGAGTACTGAGCAGATGTGGACATAGGCCCAGCCATGTGTCCTTACACTTACCACCATGGCACTCCCTGAGAGCAGCACCTTACTGCAAGCACCTACAGTTCATATCCCAAGGAATGGGGGCAGGTGGAAGCAGCTGAGCCAGTGACAGATGGGAGCTGGAGGATAAGTATCCCAGCCTCCTTGCCCTCTCTGTGTTCTTCGCCATCTCCCTGAGTTTCCAGTAGGACTGGGTACCAGCCACCACCAGCAGTAACCTTCATTCCCACCCCTTTTTACCTCCCTGCCGGGGCTTCCTGGAATCATGTCCCATATTAACAACTTGCTCTCAAACCTTCCTCTCAGGGTCTGCTTCTGGGTAAACACAACCTCGGTGAACAGGCCAGTGTTAACACTGCCAGGGCTGCAGAGATGAGCAAAACCTGTCCTAGAAAAGTTTATAATCTGATAGGAAAACTAATGCCTTTTTCCTTGTGAAAAAATAAAACAAAACTTTACTGTTCATAGCAACCATGTAAGTATGTTTGGGGAGGAAAAGAAGAAGTGGCAAACTAACAGAAGGGTCAGAGAAGCCTCTATAGGTGACGTTTCCACCCCAAACATCTCAAGGACACAGAGCTCCCCACAGGAGTCAGTGGGTGATCAGGGGGCGTGGTCCATGCTCAGTGCTCTGGATTCTCACATTTACTGTGAGGCTTTACTTCGTACCTATAGGTTAAGAAGAAAGGGATTTCTATTTCCTCCAAAGAGAAAGAATTCTAGTCTTCAGCCAAAAATAACTCAAGTAATATGGAAAATATGAAGGGATAAGAACTATTAAGCTCCCTGCAATGTATTAACAGAATTATTTGTAAATCAGCTTTGACCTTTTCAAGTTCCTTTGAGGTCCTTGGGGAATGAGAGTGAGTACTCAACCCAAATCTTCATTAGACATTCTGATGAACTGCTGATATTTTCATTCGAAAAATTATTTTTTAAATGTTAAGTTTACTACATGTTCAACTCTGTAGTCAACACTGCAATCAGGACTTTTTTCAGACTGGAATCAAACAAGAGACCTATGGCTAATTGTCCATTGCATCTTTCTTTTTGGCAAATATTTCAGGGAAGGCAGCAACAAAATTCCTTCTCAGGAAAGGAATCATGACAGCTACAATTAAAGCAGGTCCTTAAACTGAAAACAGCTTCCCCAACAACACGTGCCAGGTACACCTGGGCCTGGGGCTAGAATACTCACCCTGACCCAGCAGGGAGTGACGACAGAGCAGAAGGGACATTAGCCTGTGGCTTTTCTTTCTCATTTTGCTTGAAGAAGGATTTGGCCTCTTTAGATGTAGCATCGACTTCCTTAGTCACCCTGTGCCAAGGAAGCAGATGTTAAGTTTACAAGAGGAATAAAGAGAGAAACAAAATCTAAAAGAGGGAATAAATGACAACAAGGAAAATACCCACTGAGCTTTGTGTAAATTCCGGCAGCTGAGCTTTATGGTTTAAGTTTACTACAACAGTTGTAGAAAAAACATCTTCCCTTAATAAATGAAACAACAATGTACGTAAATTTGATCTAAAATCCCCTCCATTACTTCTGTCAGCATGAAACATACTCTGATGGTCAGTCACTACTGAATCACAGGCCTTGTGGGTTACTGATATAAGGACTGAAAAAGGCTCTCCCACTGCACCTCCCATGCAGAGCAGGAGTCACACTTAAAGGCCCAGTAATAGCTGGAATGGGGAAATGGAATATTTGGGAGAAAAACACTAGCATTATTTCAAAGAGGAAAATAACAGTAGGCTCCTGTTCTACATCTAAAACAAGCCAAAGGTGAAAAAAGTTCCCTTAAAACTGGCTCATCTGGCACTAATTTGGGAATAGAAAAAAATGTGTATGACTGAGAATCCTGTCCAATTTCAAATCTGGAAAAATTGGCCTCAATAAAACGGAAGATCCAATAAGAAGCAAATAACGATATTTATGGTGTCTGAAACTTCAGATGAAGGAGAAATGCCTAATGCCCGCCAAGGCTTGCCAATTCAACGAAAACATGGAATTTTGTTTAAATTTCAATCTATCTGTAGCAGCATCCGAGATTATGGTCATTGTATTATGAGTGTTAAATCAGGTCATCCAGAATAAGACAGGCAAGGAATAATGACAGGTGAATCCTACAAATTTCATCTTTGCAGGAACATAAGTCTCTATCTCTTCTCTTCTTCCTTCTAGGCTTCTTAGGACCAGAATCAAATTTTCTTATTAAGAGACATCTCACTACTGAACTCAGTACTGTGTCGCCTACACAAGTGACACAGAATAACAGTTTGAGAGTTTAGTATTAAGAATCTTCACTGGGAAAGATTGCCAAGTTAATCTTGAAGGGCGACTTAAAGAAAAAATAAAGTCTGTTAGCCTCCTGCTCAGTATTACTCAGAGGATCAAACATAAACTGCTGATCCTTGCCTTCAAGGTCTTCCAAAATTCAGTCCTACTCTCTATCATGGTTTATTTGTGTTTCCCTCAGTTCTCCCAAATGAACCTCTCAGTAATAAGAGTGAAGAGCCAAAAATAAGAGGAAGAATTTGATAGATCAGATCATCATTCGGCAAACATTCACTCCTTCTCTACTGAAAAGAATACACTTCCCCGCTCCACTGATGTTGACTTGGACACATGACTTGCTTCAATGGTCTGTGAAATGCTAGCTGATTTGACAGCAATAGAAGCCTTAAACTCATATGTGCTGTTTCACTTACTCCTTGAGTTCTACCCTTTAGCCATTAGAAAAATACACCTTAAGCAGCTGCTGGTCCAGTGTGGGTGAAAGACACATGCTGCAAATCCAAGCCCAACTAGCAGCTTGAAGCCAGGCCCAATCAGCTGAACTCCAGATAGCCAGAAACACACGAGCAACAGATAAATGCTTACTGATGTATACCACTGAGATCTGGGAAGGTTTGTTACATACACAGCATTTCTGTAGCAACAAATGACACATTTATATTTCATGAGTGAGAAAAATGAAATCGAAGGGGTTAAGTTACTTTTTCAAGACTAGCCAGAGATTAAGTAGCAATACTAGAGAATCTTGTAGTAAACTCTATTTCCCAAAGACAGTTGCCACAAATTTCCCATCCCACATGTTATTCTAGCACCTGATACTATCCCAATGAGAGAGGGAGTATATGTTACCACTCCTTGAAATTGGGTGGGCCTTTAAGGATGCTTTGATTCATAGAGTTCAGTGCAAGTGGCCCTACATGACTTCTGAGGCTAGCTGACAGAAGGTGATGCAGTTCCTACGTAGCCTTCTCTGTTGGGAATCCACCTTTGAAACTTCAAGTACCACACAAGAAGTCTAGCTACCCTGAACCACCATGCTGGAGAGAACATATGGGAAGACCACACAGAGACAGGCCTGAGAAGCCTGCTCCTGCCCCCAAGTGTTTGAGTCTTCCTAGCCCAGGGCACCAGATATAGGAGTAAGGAAACCTTCAAGGTGGCTCCAGACCCAGCGACTACTGCAGCACAGGAGATGCTGAGTAAGAGCTGCCTAGATGAGCCCAGCCATCCCAGAATTATGGGAAATTACAATAAAATAACTGTTTTAAGCCACTAAGTTTTAGGGTAATTCCTTACACTACTATACAATCAAAATAAACCCACATCCAAACTTAAGGCTTAATGCAGAGTCCCAGGTTGCTGGATTAGAAAGAGTTGCTTTAAATCTTCCTGCCCTGGGTAAAATCTGGAGCAGACCTGGGATAGCTCACGGAGAACAAGTAAATATTTCCACTTAAAAATGGTGGTCTGAACACAGGCTTTATTCTATTCTCTGCTAAATATTGGTAAATAAATTTACAAAGGCAAAATTACACATGGATAATGAGAAGAGGTATAACAGAAGAGAGATGTCAATCAAATTTTCTGAAGGTAGAAAGCAAACAGACAAGTAGTAATTGGCTTAGGTGTTTGTTTCCTCTGATTTCCTAAGCCTGCAGCCATATGAAACGGACAACAAAAAGCAAGACAACCTGTATTGTGGCATTCTAAAAAGGTTCAGGAAATTGAGATACCAGGAGCCTTTGAAGGTGAGAGAGAAGGGCTAAAACCAGTTGGAAGTTTGCATCAGGAGCAAATAGGTTCCGGGTCCCCTTCTCGCCAACACCAGTGACTACTGTCCGCCACCCAACTCAGCAGAATCGACTCCTCGGAGTAGTGAAAATCACAGATATTCTAGACTCAAAGGGCAGCAATGAAGTCTCATTCTGAAAACAGAGGAATTAAATAAAAATCTATCCCCTCTCCCCTTGCCACAGCAACTTGGAAGACTATGTGTTTTGGATGGCCAAGTTAAAGACAGAGCGCTACTCAACCTGTACTGGACTTTGCACCAGTAAAAAATGAATATGTACTGTGTTACAATACTGAGTTTTGGGGTTTGCTACCCTAACATGGCATAGCCTAGCTTTACTATTACATGAATTTAATGAATAGGAATTTCAGAAAAAAAGAAAATATGGGAGAGGTTATCAACAACAAAAAAATTTCCTACAAGGATGAGTTTCCACAAAAAGAGTGTTCCACAGAACATTTGACATAGCAAATTTAAAAAGATCAAGGCACATCATTATGAAATTTTAGAATGTTGAGGATAAGAAAAGATGACGATTAAGTGGCCCAAATTAGAGAGAAAGTGAAAAAGAAGCCTTTATGCAAAGCATGTTTTGTTTTGTTTTGCTTGTTTTACCACAGTACTAACAAAATTTTTGTAGCAGCCACCTCATACAATTTGGTAAAAATTTTCTGGAAAGCTACCTAGATCCAGCACTGTGTTAGATGTGGGACCTATAAAAAGATATGACATGGTCTCTGCCCTTATGGGCTCACAGTCTGTCAGGGCGGCCAACCATGAACATGAGTCGTGACAATCAATATATGGTCCACAGTAAGTGCCATAGAGGAAGCATGGAAAAAGTATAACCGTGGGAATATCTCTTAATTTCTTAGTGTCAAAGTCCTATTCATATTCACTAGGAAACAACTTCTATAAACTGGTATATTTTTCTCAGGGACTACACTAATTGACACAGTAATATTAGCAGAAGATTACTCTTCATTGATAGTATGCCTAGAAGAACTTCGCTTTTAACAGGCAGTAAGAAGAAATTTAGCTATCACATTATCTTCAAGTAGGAGTGGTCTAAATTATAGACCTCTTCTAATATGTAAGACAAAACCCTGACAGGAAAAGGCCCACTATTAGCTGTAATTAAACAAGTTTTATTAGCAGAAATTCCTTTTTAACTTCATTTTCACTTATTCGGAACTCCCTGAAAAGTCTTTATTTAGGAAGAAACTTTCCATGACTGGCCTTTTCCAAATGTGAATCATTTAGGAAAGTCTGAGCTAACTGGCTCAGCTGGTTATGTGATAGAGAAGGATAAAAAATATTGTTTTTCCTTATTCTCCAAGGTTAATAAGCTACACATTTTTCAAGGGGGAACAAAACAAAACAAAAAGGTAAAAAAATCCAACCTTTAATAATTTAAAAAATTAGAAAAAACTAAAAGACTAACTTTGTGCTAATATTACATTATGCTTATACTTACAAATTCTTCCCAGTCATCACTAGCCCTTTCTCGCATTCCTTAATGATGTAGTAATGCTCTTAACTTAATACAAAGACAAAAGGAAAAAGCAGAATGACATCAAGAAAGTAAAAGCTATGCTCAAATCTACACACCTAGTTTGCATCTGGCTATTGATTAAAATTCAGACCTCCCAAGTTCCTACACGAAGGTTCCTTATAATACCTAAATTAAAGTATAAATAATTTAAGTAATAAAAAAAAAATCCTGCCAAATTGCCAACTATTAACAGGGCTTTTCTTATCTTTAGGAGAAAAGAGTTAAAACACTTTCACTTGTCGTGTTATATATCTCTGTAATGTATGTTTTTTAAAGTAATAAGCACATATTACTTCTGAATACGTTATAATGAAAAAAAGTACTTCCCTACTCCTGTTTTTTGATAGACATGGTGCTGCCCTCTTCTGTCAAATCATAGAAATAGCAGGCTCCCTGAATAACCATCTAGTGAATTTACCATCATTTGCTTTAAAAAATGAAATTGGAAATTTGCATCAGACAATTATGTTTATATTAATAAGTCCACACAATTTAATTCAATCAGGAGATTTAAAGCTTTCCCATAGCAACAGTTACCAGTTTTTCTTATTCTCAATGTAGGACCAGTGGTAAAGTTATAACAAATCTTTCTTAGATATCATAGATGACACATGGGAAATAACGATTTCTAAAAAAATTTAAAACGCATATTCCTAAGTATATTAAATGCTCTCTATATTATTACTGTAGGACTCCCAAACTATTAAAGATTGACTTTAAGTGTTTATCACCTTCTGTTGGACAACTACATAGTTTCCCGTGTGATTTCCGGTAGCAAAATACATTACTAATTCACATTGGCAAGAAATATTTAATGGATTCCCAAAATGACTGATTATCAAAATAAGGGTTGTTTTTATAATGGAGAATTCTGACAGATATTGCCCTAAGTCTAACTTATCACCACCAATACTAGGTGTTGTGGATGTGATGCATTGAGGACAAACATCATTGATGTAGTATTTTTGTCTAAGGTGATTAATGTGACGCTAATCATGAGGAAATACTTCATACTGAGGGACATTCTACAATATAAATAGACTCAAAAAATATGTAACAATGTCAAGAAATACAAAAAGGCTTAAAAAGTTTTAATTTCAGGGAGGCTAAAAAGAGTAAAATGTGGAGTATGATCTTGGACTGGATGTCAGACTGAACAAGAAACAAGAGCTATAAAAAAAAAGAAATAGTTATAAAGAACATTATTGAAATAACTGAGGGAAACTTTGAGGAGAATCATATAGAGAGCTATTTAAAATGTGGGTTGCAAAACTACCTATTATTGGTCCAAGATGAGATGGGTTCAGAAACTGTAAGTATTTAAAAAGTTGTTTGCAATTTGACAATATCATAATATTTCAATACATGATCGGTGGACTCACTACATTAAACAGAATTCAGGTATTGTCAAACTTGCAAGGTGGTCACATGTGATATTAGTGTATTAATCGTATGCAGTAAGACCACATTACAATGTGTGATAGTTTAGATGATTTTGTCAACTAAAATCCAAAAATATGATAAAAATGTAAGCATTTATTTTTATTTTTTATTTTTCAATTATAGTTGACATTCAATATTATATTAGTGTTAGGTATACACACAGTGGTTAGACATTTATATAACTTACAAAATGATCCCCTCAAGTCTTGCACCCACCTGACATCATATATAGTTACTACATTACTGACTATACTACAGAAGCTATACTTTACATTGCCGTGACTAGTTTGTAACTACCATTTGTACTTAATCTCTTCACCTTTTTCACCCAGTCCCGCAACCCCCGATCCATCTGGCAACTATCAGTTTGTTCTCTGTATCTATGAGTTTTTTTTCTGTTTTGTTAATTTTGTTTTTTAGATCTTATGTGTAAGTGAAATCACATGGTATTTGTCTTTCTCTGACTTATTTCACTTAGTATCATAACAGGGCCATCCCTGTTGCAAATGGTAAGATTTCATTGTTTTATGGCTAAGTATTATTCTATTGTACACGCACACACGTACACACACACACACACACACACACACACAGTCTTCTTTATCTAATCATTTATCGATAAACACATAGCCTGCTTCCATATCTGGGCTACTGTCAATAATGCTGCAGTGCACGTAGGGGTACACACACCTTTTCAAATTAGTGTTTTGGATTTCTTAGGATAAATATCCAGAAGTGAGACTATAAGTATTTATTTTTATAAGTTATTTTTATAGTCATTAAATTGTTAACCAAGTGTGACTTTTAAAATTTATAGTTTAGCTAACTAAATTTAGTTAACTAAAAAATTGGTATTTTTTAAATTCTAATTTACTGATGATAAAACGAGCCCCACTATAAGTTTTTGTATAGAAAATATCTTTTCTAAATGCAGCAGTGGTAGGAAACCACATGATAATGGAAATGATTCCAAAGAAATGAAGGCCAACTGGGCAAACTGCTTTTACCCCATGATCCCTCTTATATTGAGCTTGATCACACAGTGCTAAAACCAAAATAAGTTCTTCGATTTGGCTAATGAGGCAACAAATCTATCAAAACGTCAGCAGCACTTACACATAAAACATAAAGAAACAAGTTCAAAATCAAAAGAATTTTTTGAAAGAATACTAAACCAAAAAGCCAATAGAAACAGATACAAAATTCCATATATTAATATTAGTCTGCTGTAGCCTTCTGAGAAAGTAGCACTTTTGGTTGCTAACTAAAAAAAAACATACACACACACACACGAAAAACACAAAAACCATTGCCAAGACACTAGTAAAAGACTGAATCAATGTATGCTTGGAAATCTTGGTGAGTCTATGACAAAGAAGGTAGTTCAAGTACGACTTTCTAGTGACACCATAGCTTGAAGTATTCAGAATCTGGCTTATGACAGTGAAAACTATAATAAAGTTAGCAAAGTGCTTTTTCACGTAATTTGAAAAATGCCAGATTCCCTCTAACATGAATATTATGGTACATGTGATTTAAACATGAGGGTGATATAAAGGATTCTTTTATCAGTTTCTAGCTGACAAACATACCTGACACTGATTTGTATGATAAAACTAGGATCACACACTGTCAACAATTGTGATTTGAAGTTTTAAGCGTTTGGAAGAATATGTTCCAATGGCACAGCTGCAAGACAGAAAAACAGTGTAGATTAAGGAGCTTGTGCTAGAACATAAATTAACACACTGCTTCCTTCATACTATGTGATAATCTGAGAGCAGATCATAAATGCGCATGTGTTATATTGCACGCTGAGGTACAATGGTTATGAAGAGAAAAATGCTGCTGAGAACAATGAACTACAGAATAAACTTAGTGTTTCCAAAAGAAAACGTAACCAGTTGCTCCCCAATTTTGAAGATCTCAAGTAGACAGTAAAATTTGCTTATTTCTCTGATATCTTTGGTATTTTTAATAATCTTAGCACTCTAATGTAAGAAAGCAATTCAATGTTTTTCAGTAGCAAATAAATTATAAGGGTAAAAATGAAAGTTAAAAAGCCTGGAAGAATACAGTTTCTACAGATTAACATGTTTTACAGAATGCTTTGATAATATCCACACACAGGAAATTCATGCACCCACAACTCCTTTTTTCCACTGATATAACTTCGATTTAATTATAACTTAACAGGAGAAACTGATGGAACTGGCTACTGATGAAGCATTGAAAATGAACTTTAAAAATATAGTATCACTGGCGTCATTTTAGATAAAAGTAAAAAATGAAAATCCGGAACTTAAGACACAGCTTTAAAATCTATTCTCACAAAAATATCTCTGTGAGATGGATTTCTTTATGATGAATGTTATTAAAAAAAGGAAACCAACACAGAAATAATTTTCACATACATTATCCTCTAAGAGTAGTGCTGTCATCAACCCAACTTAGATACATTAACGAAAAAAAAAAGATATTTTGTCACATCAAAAACTTTAAAAATACACACAGCACTTATTCAAAGTGTGTCTAGATTTTAACTACTGAGAATTGATATTTTAGTTTTTTTGTTTCCATTATAGAATAAAAAGCTATAAATATAAGTGATTCCCTGTTATCAATCACTTATAGTCACACTTTCAATGAACAGCATGTACAGTTATAGAATTCTTTTCCTTTTCCTATCTTAAGGTTCATTTTGACTATGTTTACTGAAATGTAATTGTATGTCTATCTGTTAAATTTTATTGTTAAAAATTTGGGCTTGTATGTTTTATCTCTTTTTAATTTACTTTTCTATAATTTTTTATTGCCTTACAAAAGTACTGGTCTGCAACAGGTTGAAAATTTAAGTCGGGGTCCTTTGCCACAAATTTACTGGATGGGAGTATCATGAAGGAGAATGCCCTTGTTCTTAGGAAATAGTGTTGAAGTATTTAAGAGTGAAGTAATTATCTAATGTCTACAAGTAATTCTCAAATGGTTCAGCCAAAACAGAAAGAGAGAAATACAGATATAGATGGAGGAGAGGGAGGTAAAACATTAACAAGTAGTAAATCTGTATGATAGGTATATGGGTGCTCATTGTAATACTATCTTTGTAACATTTCTGTAAGTGAAATTTTTCAGAAGAAAGTTGGAGAGAAAAATGTTTTTAAATAATAAAAAGTTTTGCTCCACGCCATTTATAAAACTAATAATGCCAAATTCTTTTTTCCAAGAAGTATTTTCACTGGATGAAATAATTACTGGAAACTAGATATTTTTAAGAATACTGATTTTAGGGGAAATTATATTTTTAGAGAGTATACAGGTCTAATTAATTACATTGGAATAAAATAAATGTGACTACCAAAAATATTACTGATTGGTACTTCATCTATTCTCATTTAGCTCTAAATTACAGATCTACTATTTTCAGAGGCTTCAGTGGGTGCATACTTCACACTCAAGGAAAATAATAAAGGGATAAATACTTAGTCAAAGTCACAAAGCATGGCAATGAGTAAGTGGAACCATATACTTTACTCTTACATTTTCTTGTTTCTGTTCAGTTCACTACTTCATAATATTCAAAAACTACATTACCATAAATGAAAGGACCTTTCTCATGTTCCCTGATAATTCATGGAGTCATTGTTTTCCTTGAGTTCTAATATAACTCTTCCAAAATATTATGATGGCTTGGAATGAGGTCAGATGCCTAACACCATTTAGAAAGATGATCATTTTTAAAAGAACTAGTTTTGAAGTTTGTGAAGATCATCTTACCTGACTTCTTCACCAGCAAAATCAAACACCTTGGTGATTTTAACTTTTTCTGTTTCTTTAGGTTTCTCCGGCTCTTCTGCTTTGCCCAATGATTTACTTGAACTTGTCTCTTTAGTCTCCTCTCTTTTCTATGGAAAAAAAAATGTAATCAGTTTCACATAAGGATGAAACCTAAAAGAATCATTCAAACATGCTGTTTATGACTATTCTTAAATGCTTCATCTCTAAACACCTAAAGACCTATTAAAAATTTGATTAAAAAGCTACTTTTTCTACCATACGGAATGCTTTTGCTTTTCATTTAGTAGAGGTACTACCAAAAGGCATCCATATCATCTGATTACTGCTGCAAGCTTCAATCTCAGTCTGTAAATTTAAAAAAAAAAAAAAAAAAAAATTCTATCTGGAGAGTTTAGGATATTTCTGGGGAAACATTCATCTCATTCACCTATCAACTTACTTTAACTTGTGGACTTGGGGGCACTTTTGATTTTGGTCCCACGTCATTGAGGAAGCTGGCCCACAGTTCATCCTCTTTCTTTTTCCTTGCATCCTCTGACCCAGTGCCTTTTTCCTGCTCTGCAGCCATGTCTTCCTCCTCACTGCTACTTCCTCCAGATTCCCTGCTGGCATCCTCCTCTTCCTCTTCTTCTACCTTGAGGCCACCTTGTTTTCTCTTCCTAATCACCAACAGTAACAAGGAAAAAGAAAAGCAAAACAGACCATGCAAACTGATTTCAGTTATCCCTTCCTCAATTCCAAACATCGTGCTGCAAACACAAAACTTTTAAATCTAGGGACTACTGATTAAGATGTACACTGAATCAAAATATGGTGTTCTATTTCTAAGTTAGGACTAGTTATTTTCACCAAGAAACATTCAAAATCATCTCACAAAATCAATGTCCAGAAAGA